TCCTACTTGTGCCCTTAAAAGTGACCTATGCCCTTGAAAGTTTGTATAAACGCTTCAGCTAATTTTTAATCGCATTACTAAAAGCTCGACAAAGCAACCTGGCTGACATACTGCTATATACATTCCTTACGTCGATTATAGACATAATGTGCCGCGCGTTTGGAGTTTTCCTGTATCAGCAAACATCTTTCATGTTCTAAGTTGTGTCCAGCGAATGGACAAGCGATCAGTAAATCAGTTTTAATAAAGTGTAACGTTTATCTGTATAATGTATCAGCTTGTGCATAAAGTGACACATATTCCCGACTTTGGTTGCATTTTAGAGTTAATTTTTGCCAGTTTTGGCTTTCTCGACAAGCTTAGTCGTTATTGTTATCGAAACCGACCGACCAAAAAAGCAGAGAAAAGCATGCAATATTTCAAAGCGGAAAATAGCATACAACAATCTGTAGGATATTAACGTAACTTGTAAGACACTTGTACTTGTACACATTCCAGCGCTGACAAAACGATCATTCAGAAAGTGGCCGTAGTGCGGAGCACAAAGTACGTATATAAAAGTCGAGACGCTGAAATTTAGAGTATCGCGTATAGCTGAAACATTTAACAGAAATACTGTACTATTAAACTAAGTGGCTTGTTGACAAATAAAGGAACACATGCATGTTGACATGTTGACAATAAAGAAACACTCGTAATAAAACTCGTTTCTGAGGACATTACTGCTGAAGTAATGCAAAACGTCCGCAACAGTTGAACAGCAATAGACGATCGCTAAAGTGGATATGTAATATAAGAAATTTTTCTTCTCCCTGTTGCGCAGAATATTAATGTCATGCCTAAAAAAAGTTATAAACTAAAATACAAGGATTTTATTGCACCAGTTTCCGATCCCATATGGATTCGTCATCTGCTTCCACCAGCGGCTCCTTGCCCATGTGAACATATTTTTCGACGATCTAATTTGTGTCTAGATCATGAAGCCGGCAATGCCAGGAAAGATCCGATTGCATTAAAAAGATCGGCCCGAATTTCAGTGTAAGTGACCACAATTTCAGAGTTTCCGCAGAATACGCGAACATGAATTCAGGTGTAAGCGAACGAGAATTTAAACAAAAAATAACCTTTCGCCTGCTTACTGCCGGCAACGACAACGAGTTGCCAATGTTAGCTTTGAGCAGCAAATTAGAGGTTTATAAACGAGAAACCTTACAATTAAATTAGATGTACAGAAAAGAGCGGAACGTATCTAACAAATTTTCCGCAGCACATGTTTTGTACAGAGTGCGCGTTTTGTAGTTTGTGCTTATACGAGCCACTGTGACGTGTGCAAAAGTTTAATACTGCACTCTAAATCCCAGAAATATGTAACGAGTTGACGAAATTTTTATTCCTCGTACGTGAACTAGCCAAAAAAGTTGGGAGCAGCTGTTATACTTATACGGAAAGCAAAACGAATGTTGCTACACATAAAATATCTTATTTTTTTGAAAGTTAAGCGTTTGTTTAGCGCTTAAAATCTCCGTTAATTTTGAAAGGATAGCGTAATTACGTAATTATGCGCACACGTGAATGCTACAGTCTTTGCGATAACCTGATACGTTACGCTAAAACAACGATCCAGAAAAGTTTACTTTAGAAAGTAAAATGATGGAAGTTTTTAATCTTTTCACGTGAATCTTCCGGAAAATGCGAAGCGACACGTCACGCAAACGTTAAATCACATAAAATGTTGCATTTTTATGGAGAAGGCAACAGTAAGTTCACGCAGTACTGGCAGTGTTGTTTGTGCCGGACAAGCAAATCATGGCAATAAACACCGATATGCAAAGCAGACCTTTTGCATGTCTAGCCACAAAGACGATAAAAATTAGAGAGACACCAACTCGATTGTTCATTGTTGACATTGCGTCTGGCCGGCAAACCGGAGCGGGCTAGTTCCATTACAGTTTACGGCTTTGTTTTCGACAATGAAGTGCGGAAACAGCCCATTTCCGTGTGCTTTTGCAAGCTCAGTGAGGAATTTAGGTTTTCATATGTAAATAAGCAAGATACTTTCCCGAAATTGTTACTGCAGATCCAGGGTTTACGATGTCATAAAATCCCGCAAGTAATGTGAATTATTGCAAACTTCATAGGCTATTTTTACTTTTTACATTCGCTATTTTTCTGAAGACCCTGGTAAAGCTACATTCTTTTCCTTCTTCCAGAGATTTCGGCCAGACAAAAACAATTTTATAACTGCAATAAAATTCATTTTCAGCGGGTCGCAGCTCTTATAAATAGCGCTTCCACTGTTCAACTAAAGCCACAAATCCTTCCATCGAAGTACTGACGTTCTATAGCAGACACTGCCATTTTCCCGAGAACGTTTGAAGAGTGAGTTTGCACAGGTCAATCCGTAGTCTCCTAACCATGATTTTGGAGGGCCTCCTGATTCTGTCGGTCTGCGTGATCGGCATCTTCGGCCAGATCCCGTCGCCGAGTGCACCGTACAGTAATTTCACCTACATTTCCGGGAAAGGCAGCGTGCTCCTGGCCATTGATCGAGTTGGCATCGTCCACAGTCTCATCGGTGGGGCATGGACTGCATTACCCGCACCTGTGCCGTTCACTGACCCAATTGACCCCGGAGTTACTTCGACCAAAGCCGTCACTGTCGGCGCCAGTCCGGACGGCTGGCACCACATGTGCACGGTGACCGGTGAGGCGTACCGTTTTAATCCAACCAGCAATGCCTGGGAGTACTTCAATAGTGCCAGATGTCTGCAGGTAAGCGTGGGTGCTGAGTATTCGCTAGCAGACCAACCGTTACTGTAGTAGTACCGCATTATTATGTTAGTATTTCCTTTCTTCGAATGTTTGGATCAGGCGCGGTTCAAATAGACTGCAGCGATGCATCGTGTTTGGACAGCGTTTTGGCACGCGCAGTCTTGCGCCTGCCTCTGATTTCTAGTTTGTCCGATTGTGTCGACCATCCGGCACAAGATTTTGTAGGTTATAATAATTATATACCGTAGATCCCATTTAACAATATTCATGCTTTCATGTTGGTGTCGAAATGCGGTTCTGTCCATAATCCATTTGCCCCAAAAAGTTTTGCTGTACCTGACAGCGAGTATCAGAACAGTGTCAACGAAGATTTGCCGGAACGACCATAAATTTGAAAATAGTTTTTTCTTCATAATCGTTGAAGTACGTTCAGCATTAACTGTGGCTCAAACCGTATTGCAGATCAACGCGCTGAACAAAAACACCGCTCTGGACATTCTGGCGCCAACACCAACCGCGGATTATGGAGATGTTCAAAAATTAAATGGGGCCCTCTTAATCCCTACATGGAGCGAACTGGGCGGTACCGGGCAGCGAACCAATCAAGCGTTCCGCTGGAGCAAATGGGTCAGTGTCGGGGAAGACGGGGAGATCTGGACGATCTCGCGCGCTGGCGAAGTCTTCCGCTTCAACGCCGCCACCAACAACTTTGACGGGATCCCCATTCTGGATGCCCTGCGACTGGAGGTGCGCAATGCCAGCTACGCTACCGTCGTCACCACCGGCTGCAACGCGTGGACCTTCAGGAGCGGAACCTGGACTAAGTGGGCCATCGCGACCTGCCCGAAACAGACGACCTCTAACAGCAACAACGATTATTACCTGGACGGCCGTGGTCGCTTCGGCTCGCGCCATTAAACAGCTTTTCATCCATGGCAAAACTAATATCGGCAATAGTTTGCTACTGATGCTTCTTACCATTAGTAAATGTTGGCCTATGGCTCCGCAAATGCGGTTTGATTTGCATTGATTTTAAAAGTGGTCGTCACGTGCTTGGCAGTTTTTCACACGAGCAAACCTTCTTTCCTCGCCTTCTGGCCTGGAGCGCTATTGTCATCCCGGAAGCAGCATAATCTAATCTGAAAACCAAATAACAACTAACAATAAAGCTGCGGCTCGATATTTCATAACGCGTCAGTAACGTTTCACGCTTGAGATGGTAATAAAAGGGGCTTCTGCCTTAGTTAGTGCTTCATGCACGATATGTGCATGAGAACCGGTTCTCGGCGTTTAACAAATAAAGAGCCACTCGCATGTGCATGCCGGCGATAGTAGGGAGTGGTCGCCTACGAGATATTTATTGCCGGAGCGGCACTGCACATTTCTTAATACCAGCGAAAATTTCCTTCTCTTCGTCTCGATATGATAGTCAGCTGCGTTAGGTTCCTAATAGCCGTTCCTTCTCTGTAACAAAAATAAGGGCGGCAAGGCAAACATGTCGTGTCAGTTAAGAAGAAATCAGCGCCCTGAGTTCATCGTGTGCATTCTGGGCAACCTAATTGGTAAAGACTGTAAAGTTTTACTATGAAACAGTTTGAACGATTATCTTTTTTTTTAGCGGCAGTAACCAGCGCCGTTATCACCCTTGTGGACCCGAATTGTCCGGCAGACCCTACAGTAGTATTCTTAACAGGTAAGACCACTTTTTCAAGACTAGCGGAGGTATACAAATATAAGCCAAGTGGTTTAATGGACCGGGTGGAGAAAGAAGGCCCGGGGCATTATAATATATTATTACGTACTGTATATTATACAATGTATCCTGCGCAGTCACTCGGCAACGTAAATTGTTCAGCACTTAGAAGTGCAGTTTGTTTTGGTTCTTTTCGAACACAGCATAACTTTATAATATAATAAAGAGAATCAGAAAAAAAACGCAACTTTTATGTGAGTGTGAGTGTGTGTTATAATTTTTGGTAATCGTAATCTCGTATTAAAATAAAAAATTGTATCGTAATACTCTGTCGCCGCACGATAATCGAATATTTTCATTTTTATTTCTCAACACCCATATCAGACCAGCAAGTGCACAATGGTTAATAAGGAAGAACAAAACCAAGGGAATTAATATTACAAAAAATTCCAATGCGAGACCTGAAAAATAAAAGTTATTTTTAGAAAAAAAATCTTTTTAAAAAAAACAACAAAATGCGAAAACAAATCCGCTTACCGTCTCCAGGCATTAATCAATTGTGATGACCTCTGGCACCGATTCTCCAGGTCCCTCAAAGGCATCGCCTTCATCCTCTTCCTCGTTATCGGCATCCATGGCTTCGTCTACAATTGTAGTATTAATAAAAGGATTTTACAATAATTAGAGCTATCGACTTACCGCTGAGAAACCAGGAAATGTCGTCGTTATCGTCTTCATCGCTGTCGACATCGTAAGCGGTGATGATGAACTGCTTAACCCGAGGGAACGTATCTACCATCCAACGATCGTGGCCGCGGATCTCGCATAGGTCGTTGCCTTCCACATCCAGTGCGCGTAGCTTCGGAAGACGCGTCAACGGTTCCAATTCATCGCGGTGCCCTAGCTTGTTCCCGACAATGGATAACTTCTCCAAGTTGGGGAAGCACGCTGGTATGACGCTCAGGTCTTCTAGGTGGTTGTCGCCCAACATTAGTACGCGCAGATTGGGCAGGCGTGGCATCCCCTCCAAGGACCAGAGATTACAATCAATAAGGCTGAGCTTTTCCATTCCCTGGAACTTGGCGAACCCAGGAAGGACAGATGGCGGAACCTGTTTTCCGTCGAACACCATTTTCGGTGTTTGGGGGTTCAACTTGCTAAATAAGTTGCTGTAAGCTACCTCTTTGTGAGCGAGAGAAGTTACAGGCATTTTTAGCGATTTATCGATTAAGAAAAACAGGTAATTTGAAAAAACAGACTGCAAGGAACGCAGTGCCAGCTCTACCTTTATATACTGAACAGGATAATTTGTTTTGAGAAGGATAATCGTTTCTGATTATCCTAGTACTCTATGGTAACGGTAGTACGTATAATCGGTTCTGATTATATGACGTACGAGTTAAAGTAACCAAAATCGATTATCCCATCAAAGATAATGGTTTCTGATTATACCCAGAATAATATATAAAGCAGCCAAAAAGATCGGCAAAGGTCAGTAACGCAATGTTTTTTCAATGAATTACTGTGCACGTTTTAACATGACCGTTCGCGATTGTCATCCTACCTGCTTTTGTTCGGCCGTGACGTCGGTAAGTCATAATGTACCATTGGCCTTAGAACCGTTGGCCTTCGTAAGGTACGGTACTCCGTCCAGGAATGATAGTTGGACGGCCGTCAACCTTGGTCATGTTTGTAATACGGCTTACCAATAATTCTTTATATACTGTATTGATGTGAATGCAGAAAGTTTGACACGTCTGGAATCGGTTTTTGCAGCGCAGTTTACGGGACATTATGCAACCGCACCGGAAATCCGTGGTGGCAGCCTGGGCGATGATTATGTATTCCTACAATTCCATTTTCACTGGGGTTCTGTTAACACCCGTGGGTCGGAGCACGTGATCGACGGATAGCGATATCCACTTGAAGTAAACGTCACCTGTGGCAGACTGGCAAATTACATTAATTATCTTTATAATATGTTTTGCAGTTTGCATATCGTGCACCGCAAAAGCATTTTCTACGACAACGAAGCTCTTGGAGATTCCACGGGTTTCGCTGCGTTGGCTATCATGTTTGAACTGACAGACAATCCTGTGGATGAAAATGATCCTCGCTTTGTGCATATCAATACGTTGTTCACGGCTCTCTTGGAGCTTACACATCCCGGTGAGAGATAAATAACAAATTATTGAAAGAAAATGGTCCTATAAGGATTGTCGAGCAAGAAAAAAAACAATGAAAAAATGAAACTCGTACATTATATTGTGTATCACATAACTAAAATTAGACGCCCTCTTTTCGTGACTAAGGAGTAGGTAAAATATATTTTGACGGTTTTTGTGACACGTCCTTCTCTTAAAAAGGTCAGGCCAAAGTTGTGACCCTGAAGGACTTCCGGCTTCAGGATTTCATCCCGACCTCACCGGTGTACTACCGCTATCTCGGCTCGCTTACAACACCGCCCTGCGCCGAAGCAGTGATGTGGACTGCGTTCAAAGAACCGCTAAAGGTCACGCAAGCCCAGCTCAGTATGTTCCGTACCTTGAAGAAGCATCCACATGGTGACGCGGCCAATAACGTGCTAGTAGATAATTTCCGACCGGTGCAACAGTCACATGGACGAGAAGTCAAAATTTACCCTGGACAGATTATCACCACTATCACGCAGGCTACAGCAGTGACACCGCGATGGTTATCATCTAATCCTTGCTTGAGCCTTAAAAGGGTGGCACGACGCCATAAGCGACAACCAAACTGGGCTTGGGCACGATCGCAGGATTGTGTAAACTCCGAGGAAGACGATGACCGACGTTAAAGGGAGAACGAGTCGACCTTGATTGTTTTATGCTGATGCAGTGCATTTTGCTGGATGTAAACTGTACAGAAACAACACATAACGAGCAGAATGACTTAATACGGTCACGTCGGTCAGCGTGTCACAGTGCAAGTACTCGTAACCGTATTCTGTTGGAAAGCGGCTAGTTACCGTCTATGTTTACTGTATCTGCACACCCAACATAAAGGAATAATAAACATACTGTACAGTTACCATGCACTTGCCGAAATTTTGCACAGTATGAGCTGTACGATACTGTAGCTGTGTGAGAGCTAAAGCCTCTTGCGTTCGGACAACCGTCTGCACGCTGTTGTAGTGTTGCCGTTTTGACTTTTCGTGAGTTTTCATATCGTTTTCGTGCGACCTCCAGATGAAACGGACTTTTCATATTTTAAAAACGGTTTTCGTATTTGCGCCGCTTTTTCCAAAACGAACATTTTACGAAAAGTCCGATCGTTGGGTCGTGAGCGATAAGTAACGAAAAGCCAAAACGGCAAGACTACGCTGTTGCAGGCCTAGTGAACCTTGAACCTATGTGAACCTTGAATGGTGACTGAGCGCGCTCGTACAACGTACGTCTAGTTTTGAGCCACTGAAACTTTCGGCAAGTGCAGGGTAACAGTACGAGGAGGATTATAGTTGAGTCGGTAGCGCACGGGTTAACCCGTTCCATACTATGCGTGTTAGACCGACATGGTGGAGGACTTCTTCTCTCTTATCCGTAACTATGGTCCTAGGTTGGTTTTAATGGTTTTATTTCAAAGAAAAGATGTTAGACTACAGTTAACAATGTATAACCGTTAACTCCCTCATGTCCGTAAAGTCCAGGGAGTGGCCAAACATGGTCAATACTGACCAAACGGAGTTCTCTGAGGTCCTGCTTCCCTTTACAGCCACCTCCACATCAGTTAATTTCCAGAAAAATCATGAAAGAAGTAATTGCTGAGCTCTATACAAAATTGAAACAAAGTTCAGAGAAAAACCGTTCACTGGTCAGTGCTGGTCAATTGAAAATACCATGTCGGCTTTGACACGGTTGGACATAATACTATTTAATTATTATTCTTTAAAAATTCATATCTATGGGCAGAAGCATCGTACACGGGACGATAAACAGTCAAAAGAAAGCCCATAAAATGCTGTATTAACTGATTGTACCATAATGGTCAGCAAAGTGACCACTGGTCAGCACAGGCCGGAAATCCGAAAAATATAATTTTTGATTAAACGCCATTAAAATCAGCGTAAATGAAATGTAAGACATTTGTGTAATGACTGCTCTCGGTAGCTTTAAAATAGCTATAACCCGTACTACCTATATTAAACCGCAAAAACGACTCAACGTAGGACCGGAGACACCGGACTAGGTGCGTGAATAAATTTTTCGGCTGTGCAGTGCAGTTGCTTGTGTGTGGAGCGTTTCATGCCATGTCCTGTAATCTGGCTACTCCATTGCTCATGAGCAATGCGTACATTCTTTGCAAATTTTATCTGAATTAAATTAAGTAATAATGGGTGAGAAGTCCTGTAAAAGTTATTAATCAAGCGCTAGTGCGTTAACACTCTGATAGTAAAGCTTGTGCCCTTGCATCAAGTACACATTTGGACCTTCCGGTTTATGAGCACTCATGCGGCCGGCATGCCTTGTAACCTGTAGAAATCAATCTATGCGAAGCTGAAAATAAAATGGATATTAGAAGTAATTCAGAAGTCCTGTCTTCCTTTCTAAATATTAAAATTTGTTGTTTGTGAATATGTAGTCACAAGAAACAGGCTTAGCAGAACTTTGCTGACTTTGATAGTCATACTCCCGTATTTCTTAACAACTGGTCACTTGTAAAACACTGAAGAATTGACCACCGGTCTATTAACGATGGTGATCATTTTCTGGAACCAGCCCTGCTCTTTATCTCTACTATCCCATTCCGTTGCACAACCGGATATACAGCAGTATTACTTATTACTTCCAGTATTACTTCCACTGTACATGTCACTCGAACTGTGATCCACAGTTTAGTTGATGACCGGTTGTCCAAAACATAAGCGGAAGTGACCAATTGCTGCGAAATGTTCAATTAGCACTTATGTAATGGTGCATTTGAGCGCTTTTTAGTTTTTAAATTTTTGTTGACCACTGGTCATTTCGATGACCATCACAATGCACCTATATTGAAGTACTCGTTGAGATCTATCGGTTGAGCTATTGACATATTCTGTGCGATTTTTTTATCAGTTGTTATAAACGGCAATGGATAACATGTCGGCGCAACATGGTTACCATGCATGTCAGGCCGACATGGTCATCTCCTGCTTGACCTCTGGTCGCTAAAATTTTGAAAAAAATATTTTTTTTCTTAATTGAATTTTTCTGTCCCGAACTGCCAATTTTCAAAACTGTAGTCCCATCCCTTCTAGTACCCGGTTTTCCTGGGTTAACTCGCAGCAGCTATGCGCTACCGACTCAACTATAATCCTCCTCGTACAGTACATTACTACCCTAGCTTGTATAAATAAAATTATAGCGGTTGTCTACCGTTGTTTATCTGTAGGATTAATCGGCGTTGAATACGTTGAACAAGCTGCCGACAACGACAGGTATTGGTTTACAGTACGTATAGAAAAACGCACAAATATGTACGGGTACCGTTCAGCCGGCCCGCAGCTAATACCATAAACATACCATAAATACCCGTAACTACTGACCGAAATTATTAGATAACCTATTCGTCTGTTTATCGTCTGTGCGTTCGATATTTGCGGTCTGTTATTAGTCTGGCTCCTGGGTTGACTTGAAGTAAATTTATTTACCGCATACCGCTATCCCGGTGGCTATAGTCTATGATGCCGTTGCGATCATTGCTTTGCCCGAATAGTCTGTGAATTTAGATCACATGCATACAGAGACCTGTGGGTCAAGTTAATAGTAACGTCAATAACTAACGTCCGTCTGTGCCAACCCTCATCAGTGCTCCTTTCCGCAAGGTTTTTGGCAGGCCGTGTGGAAAGGCACACATACAGATACAGTATAGAGTCAAGTATAGAGCACCTTAACGACCAAACCGGTAATGCTAGCGTTCCAGTTCAGAGTACCGGCAAGGACGATTTGATTGCCGCACTACCTGAAAAGTCACAGGATATAACTGTAAACGCGGGAATGATACAGAACTGCGTATCCTATCCTTTACGGGTTATCTACCTAAATGTGAATTACGAAACTTTTTACAAAGAATTCATGTCAGTTATTATGAAAATGGATATTATCGTATTAGTCGAAACCCGTACGAAAAAACATGAACCAGTTCTGCGAATTGGTGGTTTTAGATCAATAAGTAAGAGCAGAGTATCATACAGTGGTGGTGGGATTGAGGTGTTTGTAAGAGAACCGCTAACGGTAGCCCTCAA